GGCATCAGATGAACTTTGGGCACCGTATCTGTCCGCGGATGAGGAAAGGGTAGTATCTGCCAGCGGAAAGATTAGGGATGAGCAACGTGATCTGAGGAAGTGAACCCCGAAAAGCAAAGCAGCGACTGACGAGGACAAGTCCTGAGTGCACCCCCAGGACAGGATACCATGTTCTGCATCAGCCACAACCTGGGGTGGGCTCTCAAACTGACTCCTCATCATCATCAATGGAGCCATTAGAGAGACAGATTGGGCTGAAGTCACAGGAGACAGATGGCATCCTTGGATACAGCAAGGTAAGAAAAACTTACCTGATATGCAGCCTGCAGCTGTTAAAATCACTAGCATGACTAGTTGTTCTCACCCAGCAGCTTCATGGACAGGACACACGGCAGGGCAGTGTAGCTCCCCTCTACACCTACAGCTACGGCCATACAATGGCCAAACTCTTCCTTCCTTGTCTATCCCGTTTGTACTCACTCACCGAGTAAACCTGAGATGCAGGGAGGAAGTCCTCTTCTGCTGGACGTCCAGACTTGGTCTCCAAGCTGCTGTAGCTACCAGGTCCTGACCCAGAACCTGAGAATACTTCTCCTTCTTTTGAGGCCTTGTTGATCTCTGCTACCTGAAAAGAGAACAGAAATGTTCTCTTGGGACTAGAAATCCTGACACATGTCTGGCAAGACATGTGTCCTCCCTGGAGAGACAGTTATCTCAAGGGTAGGAGCATCCTGAAAGAGACTTGGTCAGTTAATACAAACCAAGGTTTCTGTATCATCAGTGATAGTCAGGAACTCTGCAATCCCTTTGTCGCTACACCGAGATGATACCTGCATAAGCTTGCACTGATACCTAGGTTCCAAAGCCTACAACGTGAGGCCAACAAAGATGGAAAACCAGTGTTGATGGTGCTTCCTCCTGGAAACAAAACCACTTAAGAAAGACTTGGAAAACATCCCAGGGAAAGCAAACCTGCTCCTCTGTCTTTCCTGCATGCACTCTACCACATTCCCCTGAGCTGGGGCTAGCCCTTGTTCAGAGGTTCAGGAGAGCTCGAGCCCTACCTTCTTTAACACAGTTGCCTTGTAGGAGTTGGCCATTTTACTGGTTCGGAAAGCTTCGTACTCCAGCTCCACAGCACAGGCATGAGGATCTGACCTGTAACATAGGCTGGGGTGATTCCTGGCAAGACACACCTCTATATCTGTAAAGGGAACACTAATGCTTAAACATCTCCTAGAAAGCAGAGAAAATCCACACCCTTGGGTGCAAGGATAAATGATAACTCCCAAGTAAAGTCTAAGGTGAATTGCTGGGAAACGGAGTGGGGTGGTGAAAGGAGAATTAAGTCAAAGTGCTTGTCTCTAGTTGTTGGATTTGGGAATACGCTATCCCCATCTTGTGGGGTAGGGAGGAATTGTGACTCCTAGAATCAAGCTGAGTTAGCAGATTTGTACCTCATGTCTGGCCCTAACATCACCACAAGAACGGTTCTCTTAAACAAAACTGTATGTCTGAACCCAGTAGCTTTGAACAGTTATTTTTTGAGAACGGTGATGTCACTTAGGACAGCATAGGTCTCCTGTTAAGAGAGAAAAGGGGTAGAAAACTGTATCCTTTGTCTCATACCCCTTTCCTGTTGCTGTTGGAACTTTCTGGTTATTGGTCAAAGCTTCTTCCAGCATCCTCAAGCAGTGTTCCCGTCCCTAGGAAATAGGATATTTAGACATGCTCTGCAGAAGTCATGATGGCCCCTGGACTTCCATCTCTAAAGGAATGGGAATGGGCAAGGCAAGGAAAAAATCTTTGCTCTCCTTTGTGAGTCAACAAGATTGAACGTTGAACAGTCTTTCTTACCTTCACTGTGAGCTTAGAGATTCTCCTGCTGGAGGCATCCTTCAAAGGGCAGTCTGCACCTACCATGCAAGAGACATTTGGGAAAGATGTCACAGCAAGGTCAGGGCTGATGGAGAACATCCCCAGTCTCATTAGGAGGGCGCCAGTCCAAGATGCTTGGCATGCTTGCCTGCATGGTCACCACAAGGGCCACCATAATCATCTCCTACCTGGAGAAGCTACAAACTCCAGCAGAGCAGGCAGAGGCTGAAGGGAGATTTCTCCTTCTGGATGGGAATGTGTTCTTTGCCAGCTTATGACTGGCTGGCAACTCTCCAAAAACTGCCCATCCCAGAAGCACTTTTTTTAGGCATCTTAGTTCTTGGAAAACCCAATTCTCTCCCTCCCCCCTGCAATGGCAATGAAAATTAAACAGGCTGAATAGAGTAGCATGAACCATCAATAGTTTGAAGTACTGTGTTCTTAGAGAGGGCTCCAGGTAGCACAGAGGGAAACTGCCCAGTTCCTAAGCAGTTTCCATATAGCCCTATTGATTACTGCTGCTACAGAAAAGAGGGAGCCTAAAAAGCAGAATAGACAACATTTTCCTTCTCTCTTATTCATTTAGTAAAGCTGTTCAGAAAGATGCATTCCATCTCTTCACCCTGACCTGGACTAAGTTTGGATTCATCTCCTCCAGCCAGGCTTCCACAGCTAAAACCCTGACCTCTGTGCTTAGGGATTCTTACCCCCAGGGCTGATACAGCACAAATTAGATGCAGCTGCAAACTACAAGACTCCCTTCTCCCAAAGAAAGCCCTCTGTAAATCAAAGAAGATATTTACTTGGAGGATCAAAATCTTCCTTTTCTGGTTCTTTGCCCTGGAAGAAAACACAGAGCAGTCAAACATTTCCAAACCCTGCAAAACACGTGTAGGTCTGCAAGCACACGAGACACTTTATCTCTCTGTTCAGGGAAGATTAACGATGAAATTATGAAGATGCTGAAAAGGCAGCAAAGCAGAAGAAAGGAGGCAAAGGATGGGAATTCAAAGCCAGAAGTTCACTTTCACTATAGGAACATACAGGAGAATCTGAATCTGTTTTTACTAATATCAGAGTTGCTAAAAACAACTGGATCCTCTTAATTAGCATTGCAGAGAGTTCAGTACGTAATTAAATTGAGTAAAAAAGCAGAAGGGCTCAGAAAAAGTTAGGACAATGAGGTGCAATGATTGGCTTTCAGCAGTGCCAGGAAGCCTTTAATTCTTGCTTTTAGCATCTGTGCTGCGAGCTCGTGTTGCCAACAACCCGCACGTCCCTTCTAAGGGGACATCAGCTTACTTTGCGCAGACTCATTTGCTTTTTGTAGAAGTTGTTCCATTCTCGTTTGCGATTTTCTTCATTGGCTTCATCCCAATTCCCGCTGCTCTCCTCATCATCGTACCTGGATAAGGCAGGAGAGCAAGAGGCAAAAAACATTCCTGCGGGCAGATGCAGCATTAGCTGCGACCCCGTGCAGGAGGGACACCCCTCTAGGTGCCCCTGCTTGAGCAGGG